ATTAACACTTTTCATTGCATGGCTTTTACGATAAACGAACGATAAATGCATCATTCATCCAGTAACTTCCCCAGTTAGCTTCGGAGATCTTAGTTGTTGTATATTCAAGAAGGGCTTTTTGAATCAAGTCTTAGGAGTGAAACTTCATCTGTGTGGAATCATTACACATTTTAGCTTAGGGCTTAATAGATGCGTTGTTTCCCTTTTTAGATCAAGGGAAAAAATTTCATCACTAGAAAATAGATAAAAACGCTACGTTAGGGCACGGCTCACTATAAAATGACTTTTGCAAATAAGATGTGATATGGGAATCGGTCGAAAAACTAGTTCGATCCAAGCCATTCCGAATAGTGTTGGTCCTTGGGTTAAAATACGTGACCTACAGGTTGACCGCAAGAAAAAGTTAATAGGCCGGACAGACGGACAGGTTTAAATCGATTCAAAAATAATTGCATATCGTTCGGTATAATAAAAGTTGGATCCATCTCAGGTCATTCGCAATGTTTCATATACTCGCCCTAACTTAACTAACTTAAGGTGAACTTATAGATTAATGTTTTTTCTTTCTTTTAACTATGTTTTCTAATACACAAGCAAATACCTTTAGGAAGTCCTTAAGGTCATTTTATTTATTTATTTGTTTATTTACTTACACATGAATAGTGACTTTTCAAATTTAGTGGGATACGTACACTCCACTCCCGAATTTTATTTTATTGTGCGCTTTTTGACAGTAATCAAAGCTTCACGTGTTTTAGTGAGCTGGGCGATTTTTTGTTATCGGAAAAAGTGGAATAAAGGGTCTGCGTTAGATTTTCGGTTAAAAATAATATCAACTCCTCCAACTCACTTAAAATGTTGACTGTGGCATTTGCCAAATCTACTACGAGGGAGAAAAGTGGTACAAGTTCTTCACAAAAGGCCGAGAAAATGTTAAAGAGCATGTTCATTTAGGACGGCTCAGGATGTCCGTAATTTTTTGGCCAAAAACAAGATCGACTGAGGCATTAGTCACTAGATTCACTAATTTTCCTGTTAGGATATCCTGCAAGAATGGCATCGGTGTTGCCATTTTTCAATACTCTTTAAAGATAACATTCCTCAAGCACTTGAATGCGTACTCAGTAACCTTCTCGAGGCCATCTTTAATTCGAAACTAAACAATATGCCTCTGGTTAAGACTATTGCAGTTATTTTCCCCTGTAAAGAGTTGACAGTGCGATCAAAACGAAAACATAACGAAGACTACCATAGGTAGACTTTAAATTTATTTTGCTTACTTTTGCGGAATTTCGATAGAAAAACGAATTTCTTTCTAGAATGAAGGAAGTCGTTTGTAACAAAACTACTGCGCAAAACCTGACAGAGGGCAAAGGCATGGGTAAATAAAGCCCTGCTGAAGACTAGATACTAGTAGTAGTAGTAGTAGTTGTAGTAGTAGTAGATTGCTAACAGCTTTTCCTGCGATCGATTGAACTTAATAATAAATTAAATATGCAGTTATCTTCGGTTATAATCGTTATATTACCGATAAAGCGAAATAGTTTTGAGGAAAAACTACGTCATTCAATGATTAATTTTCTCCTACATAGTTATTTTAAATAAAACCTACACGATTAATATCGCGACCATAACTCTGTCAACTATTATCAAAGATTGATCAAAACCATTAGGAAAATGTATTTAAATGAAATATTTTCGTCGAAAATCGTCAAAAATTATATATCGAATTTTGCATTTTATAGATCCCACACATTTGCATGGCAAAGCCAAAAGGCTTTTAATAGAGTTTGAGTGTTTTTCAAGAGGTTTACTTACTCTACGCTAATGGTGAATGAATAACTGCAACACAAAAACAACAAAAACAACAAAAGCAACAATAAACTTACGATATAGATATCAAGTAGTCTAACACTTTCAAACGATTTTATTGTTTATGCCAAACTACTACTATATGTCAGTCACACCTTTCGCTTTTTGTTTTTTGTACTTGTATTTTATTTTTATTTTAACTTTAACTTTAACTTGATACGTATACCCGACTAAGCAACTGGCTAACCAATCAAATAATGAAAACCATAAACAAAATGATTGCTGTAATTTGTTGGCATGGTTTGACATTATAACAATATTTGTTATAAAAGCATAAAAAGCAAAGAAAAGCAAAGAAAAGAAAAAAAAAAGAAAAAAGTTTATTACCTTTTTTTTTTGTTTGCCATTTTGCCATTGATATCATTTGCCAGTATATATATATATATATATATATATATATATAACATAGAAACATATAACTAATAACTAAGAAAACAAAACACTGTTTGCTAAATATAGTGTAGGAGTTGCGTACAAACAAACGAAGAAACGAAGAAACAAATAAACGAAAATAGCAATAACATCATGTGCTGCCTACTAAATGAACTGCAAGAAAATTATGTAAATGAAACGTTTTTGTTTTTTTTTCTTATTTGTTCTCATATTGTCGCAATTATTGTTGTTGTTGCATTTGAGGTGATATTGAAAACCCATTAAGTCTATTTAGAAAAGAAAAAATTGTCATTTCGAATTTAAAGTAATGCCGAAATGTTCGATATGCGTATGGGTATGTGTATCTCTTTGACATATGATATGTGTGAATATTGGAGAGTCAGAATATTGGTAACAGTGATTTAATTTTGAAGGTTACATAGGGGCTTGTTTATACTTATTTATACACATTGTTATGCTTAATTCTTGTTTATTTTTCTTTCAATTTTCAAAAAATTATGCTGCGACAATTGTTACCAAAGCAGATAGCAATACATAGATTATCAAGGATTAAGGTCAGTCAGCCACCGGTAGTCAATTGCATTTTGGTTGTTTTTTTTTTTTTACATTTGTTGTTATGCCTTTTGAATCTATTTTAAATTTTTTTTATATAAATTGTCTTGACAATAATACATTGTGTGATTAATTGAGTGTCTGTCTGTGTATGTGCGTTTAACTTGTTTGATTAATAATCAGTATGCTCATGTCAATGTATTATGTATTTTTTGTTTTTTGCTTTTTTTTTCTGTTTGCAATATTTTTAAGGATTAATTCAACCTTTGATTTTTGAGTGTGTATGTAGAGAGATAAGAGATTATGTTAACGATGACTCATAACTAAGAGAATACGAAAAGTTGTAAGCATTCACTTCCTGCACGTGTAGATTCACATCGACTATATTAACTTTTTATACATACATACACATATACATACATTTACTATTTCTGGTCGTTCGTTAGGCTTTCGTTTAGATCACTTTTCTAAGGAATGTTTTAATTGTTTGTTCATTTCTTCAATTTCTTAAGGGAAAAATGTGTACGAACTGCCCCCTCCTGGAAGAAAGATTTAAGCAAAGACATAGAAGACGAACAGTTGAAGAAAAATACAGCTTTTCCCCCGTAGTGAAATCGGTTATCGCCTATAGTATAATGGTAGCTATTAAGATGTATCTTTCAGAGAAAATGCAGAAGTTTTACGTACGCCGCAAGAAAGCGACGAATCAAACTTCTGTGAAATTGCATGACGTCTACAGCGTAATATTATCCCCAATAAAAGTTACTAATCCTTCCGAATCACGATCCTGCAATCAACATATACAACCGAGTAAAGCTGTAGATTTGCATTCAACTCAGCAATGTTCCGGTTTAAGTTATCCTAGTTAACCTTTTTTAGTGTGTCAAGTCTACTCATTCAATTAACTGTTTCACAGTTTTTACAATGTAGTAGTAATCGTCTTTGTTACCAAAAGATATATAAAATCGATTTTAAAACAAGGTTAATATAAAAGAAAATTTCTCACTCAGCAATATTTCCATTTCCTTCCAGCTATTTGACTCGATCTACATTTTAAAGCTCTATGTTCAACTAATCAGATCAGAAATTCATAGTCATATCCATTTGGAAGTAAGATATTTTAATAACAAAATTATTAGTAACCTGAACGTTTCTTTTTTTTAACTATATTCAAATCTTTTAGCTTAAAATCTCCAACTTCCTTAAAGTTTTAAATTTCTTGGTTTAAATAATTATTTTTTGAACATTTCTGTTTGCAGATAAAAAGCTTCAGATTTTTAAACAACACTACGCTGAATAGGTTTAAAAAACTAACAGCGCTTCTGGTTGCAATTAGCGATCAAAAGCTTTTAAAGACTCTCTAAAAGACTTAGGTGTCTTTTTAGAAACAAGTAAGCACATTATAGTCGACCAAGGCCGATCATTAAATACCCTACACCACATTGTCTAACAAACACAATTCTCATTTTTATTAAAGAATACAAAAATTATATCTTGTTTCTTTATAAAGAGGGAAGATGGCGCAAACCGCAACCTAATATAGTACAAGTTTTATCCTTACATAGAGCAGGATCCAAAAATAGGTGCAAATTTTGTAGAGTTCATTTTTGTGCTAAATTACTATTATGCGTAAATTTTCATCACCACATATTAACGCTTAGACTTCTCTGCTCTAATTGAAAATTATACCTTTTCGCCGTATGAAGTTTAGTTTTCGTTATATGAGAAAAGGTTCGAAAATTGCCCCAGCCGGACCAAAGTATTCATACCAATTTAGAATGCCGAAATACTTAGCCGCTTTTGCGGAGAAATTTTGAAAATTGAAATTTTTTCCCATATATACGACTTTTCAGAATAGGGCGTTATATAGAGATTTGTCGAAAAAGTGGAGCGACCCAAACCGTTTGCGATAGCATTCGGACTTGGCTCAAAATATATCACTGTACCAAGTTTCAGCAAAATTTCTGCAAATGGCGATCTACAGCTTGAATACAAATTTACATGGACAAACGGACAGACAGACTTAGTTCAATTCAGACTATGATTCTGAATCGATCGGTATAATAAAAAGTAGGTTTCTCTGCGTAGGTCTTTCTGCGTGTTACATACATCCCCACTTACTTAATATACCACAAATGGTGTAGGGTACAACAGCTATTTTACAATTGTTTGCTAGATAAATGATTTGGTTTTCTAAAAAGAATACAAAAATATATTGAGTTACTTACATTAACTTGGAATTGTCGTCGCCTATCTGCACCAAGAGCGAAACGTGTCTGCCATTTGAAAACCTTAAAAAAATAAAAAGGAAATTATAGCTAAAGTTCCATTTTAATGCAATGATTATAGCGAAAATTTGCCGAGATGGTATTTAATTCGATAAAATAAATACTAAAATTTAGAAAATGTATTATGTAATATCGTTCACTAGGAAAGCTTTCTGAAATTTCGAATATATTTTCAAAAAATGAAAAATGAAAAACCTTCGACAATACCACTACCTAACGGTTTATTAAAAATTCTAAAGAAAGACGCTGTTTAACAGGTAAACTCATGCCTAGATCATAACATATTGAAAATCTGATTTAAAACATTACTACGCTCCCAGCGAGAGTTGGGATTTATTAACCTCCTTACTTAATAGACATTTCTTAACCATAATTATACGATAAAATAAAAAACACTAATTTCACAATAAAGAGACCAAGTGTCGGATCACTCGAACTTAGTTTTAAATTTTGTGTTCATGGATCCCGCGACTATTAACGAGCAAGACGTTGATAACTCTCGATAGCTTATGAATTTTGCTCGATATCGAATGCAAAATAATTGTCAACTGAGCCCTAGTTTTGAGAATGCTTGCAAGGAAAAAACACTAACATCTGTCTTTTATAAGTTAGACAGTTTCTTTAGCAAAGGTATTTAATATCATTGTACTCCAAGTCACTTGTAATGCAAGGGTATTTTAAGTTTGTGCGGATTTATGCTACACGCAAAAGTGCTTAAGATAAGTCCACCTTTTATTATATCGATCGATTCAAAGTCACTTTCTAAATCGATTTAAATCTGTCTATCCCTCGGTCCATTTTGTATTCTTTTGTTATTCCTATTGGCGGCAATTTTCGAGATTTCTTGATGAAGTTTGATGCACTGACGTATTTGGATCAGTGAACGAATGCTATTTCATACGGTTCGTATCGGACAGCTTTTTCGACCGCTTACCACATAACCGTTTATTTTCATGCATGACTACAGGCGGTGTACGATATGTAAATCGCCTACACTGTTCTTATTTATTTCAAGGATGTACTCGCCTAAATGACAAAATTATTACAAAAAAAACTTTGTATTACTACAGCTACAGCTGCACGCTGTAGCTTTTCATGAAACGACTCTATTGATTGATAAATGATAGATAACTTCATCAGATATCTGATCCAAATTTTACTAACTAAAATTATATGTTACCGGGTATCGTTTAACTTTAAATTATTAAATAATTGAAAATAAATTAAAAATATTAAAAAAATATTAAAAATTACTTTGTTTTTTCTTTTTTTTTTTTACGTAAATGAATTGCTTTTTCAAACTTTATTTAACGTTTCAATACCTTCTTACGAGACAAATATTGATTGAAACTCATTTAAATACGAAATACAGCTGTTAATAAGAAAAACCTGATGGCTTTCGTAAGTCGGGTAAGTAAGTTAAAGAAAAAAAAAAAAAAAAAATGCAAAACAGCCTAAGTTGTCAGTTAGTTGTGTTGGAGCAGTTAAAGAAACAAAAAAAAAGAAAAAAAGAAACGAAAAAAAAAAGAGACAAAAAAATCTACATAAAAATTTATGTTGTTTTCCTCAATCTCTAATTGCCAACACAGGCGTAGGTACTAAAAACGGGGCAGGGATTTGAGAAAATGCATTTTTGGTTATTTATGGTTTTTAGATAATAAAAAATTGAGTAAAAAGTAACAAACAAAAAAATTATGAAAATATTATGCAAATTTGTTTTGTTTTTCTTTTTATTTTTCATTTTTGCTTTAGACAAAAGCAACAACGCAAAAAAGTCGTTTGGGCGATTTGATAATGATTTGCTAAAGTGTTATATTGGCATTATATAGCAAATGTGAAAAACAATGCATAAGCTTATGTTGCTTGGATTTATATAATGAAGGAACAAACAACAACAAATTTAACACACATGAGAGTTATGTGTAATTTTTATTATGATTATTTCTTTTTTGGTTTTATTTTTTTTTTTTTTTTTTTTTTTAATATCCACAACCAAAGGCTATATATATATAGGTGTATTAAAGTTCTCCTATGCTGCTGCAAACGCTCTAAAATATACGTATAGAGGAATTAATTTATTTTTGCACTCAAATAGCTTAAGATATAGAGTTAGTTTAAATCCGTTGTTTGTCAGTTCGCCTATCCTTATGCGCGTGTAATGTTAGATTGCCAGGAATCGTAAAAAAACAAAAAAAAAAAAAAAAACTAAAACGCGACATACACAATGTTATTGGCTAGATAGTGTTTCGCATTCGACTTGAGCCGCAGATGAATAACGCCAGCAAATGTTTGGAGACTGTAAAGAGATATACAAAGAAAAAGATATCGAAATATTTCGATTAATAATTTCCAAGCTTTAATAGGGTCTGATCAAAACTTTGCCGAATCGGTTTATCACATTTATCTTGATTAACAAAATATCGAAAATTTTCCCTCATTATACGTTTACTTTGGTTGTTGGTGGGTAACCAATATTCGTTTCAAAGTGAATATAATTTCAATGCGCGTTTTTTTTTTTTTTTTTTTTTTTTTTTTGGTAGCAACGTAACAATATAACAAAACTAGATTTTAAATAGAAATAATTTATAAATTATGCATAACTGTGTTCTGTGTTTAAATTTTTCCAGAACAGGTTTCGTAATCGTTACTGTAAAGGCGTTACAGACAGACCACCATCAACATCAGTACGAGTTCAACCGTTTACTGTATTTTGCATGCATTGTCTATTTGATTGATCGATTGCCTCTATCAAAACTGGCATTAAAACAAAAGGTTTCAAAATATTGTTTGATTGCATGTTTGCACTGCACCATAATCGCCTTATTATGTGAATTAATCTAAGGACGGGGCTATATAAACACTTTTTAGAATTTATATAAAAAAAAAACAAAAAAAAAAAAAAAAAAAAAAAAACAGAAAAACAGAAAAAAACTTCAAAAATGCAATAAATATTAATTTTTCTATTTTTTCTATTATCAACGTTTGAAGTATTGTTTTTCTTTCAGTTTCACAACCGCTTGTACGATATAAATTATTTCGTGCAATTGATTTTTAATGAAAATGTTTAAATTGATTTTGTAATTCATATATCATTTTCGAATAGCTTTTCTAGAATGATTTTGAAAATAAAAATACATAAATAGCACGTAAGAAAGTTATTTTTAGCGGAGACCGAGTCCCCCCTCATACCCACCCACCACTATATTTTTCGCATTCTGCTCCCCGAGCTCTTTTACTTGATACCCATATCATCATATCGTATTCATTTTAGAATTAACCCATTCTTAGGCAGATGATCCATCTTCATTGAAGGGATGTACAAAATAGTTTTAAACACTCGGTCTTGTTTGCCTTATGATAAACAAGCATAGAACTTCAAAAAAGTAAAAAAAAAACAAAATTTAATCACTTGTGTCGACATGAGGTATACTTTCCATTTTTGCACGTAAGGGGAAGAGTGCTCCATGAAGTAAATTTGGAAAATTTCAGCCTTCTAGCTCCGAGTAATAAGCAAAAATCCAAAAAAAACGGAGTTGTATTCACTTTACGCTACACTAGGCGCTTTTGTTCCGACCGATATTCTGACTGATATTCAATACCAACCCGCTTCCTATGTTTCTACTAAATTTAAAGTCGATATCTTCATTTTTGCGACCAGGGGAGTGCCAATAATACACACCACACAGACGGACAGACATGGGTAAATCAACTGAGAATTTCAGGAGTATACATACTTTACGTCTGCCTATGAATCTCCCTTTTTGGGTGTTACATATATTAAGGGAAAAAGCCAAATGACTATACCTCCCTTTTACAGTGACGAATATAATATAATAATTTTCTTTCTTGTTTCGTTTGGGTAGAATTTAAAAGAGAAATGATTGTCTTTTGTTAGGTTCCTGATTAGAAATCATACCTGAAGCATTGAATTAATTAGTTATCACTATCATCGCGCTTTGCTTTGCAAAGCAAACTAAGTTTTATCTTTGGTTATAGCTTACATTACATCTCTCCAACATATTCTCTCGACATGCGGTATTTATTTACAATTGATAAAACCTTCGAGGGGTAAAGCTGTTCGCCTTCTTTATTTAAGATAAGATTCTGTTTAACACGAGCGGGTTTGGGCAATCACCCAATCCAAAAACTACTGACGCCATTTCAACGTTTACAAAATGTACTTGATCAACATAAGCACCTGTTCGTCCGTCTGTCCATTCATTGAAATCACAATTATGACCTCAAGAATTAGCTTTAAGTGGAACTAAGATGATTTCACATTTTTCTTTGTTACTCTCTTCACGTTCAACTATAAAGCTTCGACAATTTTTTGCCTTGTCCTTAACTAGATATTGAAAGTGGGATGTTTATAGCTTATAACGTTAAGCTTGACCTCCGACTATCCCACCAGTATGACAATCTGACTAAAACATCTGTTATGCCCCCAATAAGGACAAGACAGTAGAAAGTTAATGTTATTTATGTGCTAGAAAATTGTCTGCAAATATGATTTGATATATCTATGATGCAATTTGGCACGATATGCAATACACGACATAAATACTTGGTACTGTTTCTAATTTATAATTTCCGCGGAGCAAAGAGATAAATTTTTAAGGTAAGAAGAATGCTATCAATAGGCAAGTAATAAGTGTAAGACGATTAGACCTAAGGTGAACGTCATTTTTTTTCTCTGGTTCAATAGTGACAGCATGATTTCAGGTACAGTTTCCGCCAAGTTGTCAAAACTTCACCTCACATCAAGAAGATGTGAGGTGAACAGGAGCTTTTTTAACGATAACAATTTCGGGCGGACTATCCGTACCGCCGTCCTCGCAAGACACGGGTGAACTTGTTTAAACTAATTCAGAATTTTAAGACAGTCAAGAGTATCTCTTTTTAGTATCTCTAGCGGATGTCCCCCCACCCCCGTATAAGAGAGTTAAGAGAGTGCCCTCTTCATTGCAATTACCCAATTCTCATTAAGATCAATCTAAAAGAAT